TAAGTTTGAAGCTACTCTGTGCTTCATAGTAAGAAGTTGTCTCAAAATCAAACCAAACCAAACCAAACTGCAGAAGTAGTAGTGTGTATGTATATGTGGGTGGGTGAATGGATGGACAGATGGATGATTGTGGGTGTATGTACATATTTATGGGTGGGTAGGTTGATGGAAGGGAAGGGAGGGAGGGATGAATGGATGGATGGATGGATGGATGGATGGATAGGTGGGTGGATATACTGATGTGTGGGTGGATGCATGGACGGGTGAGTGGGGGGGTAGATAGTTGGGTGATCAGAGGGATGGATGGCCAGATGGGTGGCTCAACTTACGGCTAGACAGACTGGTGAAAACACTAATTGATAAACACACGATTTTTAAACAATTCTTCAGCTGATGAGGAGCGCGTGAGAACAGTTAGGTGTGACAGCTCACCCAAGGAAAGCAGGGGATGGAGCCTGGAAAGGGATCTGCTGGTCTCCACTGCTGGGTCTGAGGTTGGATTTTTCCTGGAAACTAGTAAAATCCGTGGACCAGTGGACATTTTGTTTTTAAAAGTAAGAAAGAAAGAGATTTGTCTTCAGTCCAAATAGAAACACAGCTTATCTTGTTTGGAAAACTGACTGCAATGAAATAATCTATGATGCATGGTCAGGAAAGGAGGAGGAGGTGGGGCCCCCAGTGTGGCTGACAGGAGCTGGAGGCAGGCCAGGGATGGAAGTAGCCTGAGCTGGATGAAGAGTGGGTTGGCTGGGAGTAGATAAGGTTTCTTGGCATGCACTCTCTGGATATCCTGATATTACAGGAAGACTATGTCTTGAAAGGACCAAGCTTCCAACAAGAGATTTAGGATACTCGAGTCCATCAAAGCAAGTCCCCAGCCACACACACCTCTCATCCACATTAGCAGATCCAAGCACAAGAAGGCCTCCTTGAGCACCCCAGGACCAGAGGCTCAGCTGAGCAAACAGGTAGGCGAGGACCATCCTAATCCGAGCCTGGATGAGGAAAAAGGAAGTTATCCTGTGCCAGGACCCAGGAAACAGCTACATTATGATGCAATCATTGCACAGGAGCAACCAAGTTAGAACACAGACAAGGTGAATCAAGCTCTCGTGTGCTGGGGAAAAGCCTCCCATGCTCCCCCTGCACCAGTCCACAGCAGGGTCATAGCACCAAGAGTGACAGGAGGTGGGCACCAAGAAGCCGTAGCCAGAAAGATGCGCAGCAGTGCCCTCTGCACTCTCTGTCTTTGGGGAGATGGCCATGCACACAGGAGCAAACAGTGATGGCATGCTGACATCCCAACAGACAGCCCTGGGACCTTTTCTCTCCCTGTTGATACACAGCACGTAGGCTAACCAAGGTAGCCTAGAGGTGGGGCAGAGCCAGCCAGGCCAGGGCTGGACGAAATGCACAGGTCCCCACATATCTCTGTGCGTGGTCATGGTCTGGCACACACTTTCCCATGTACTCCCACTCACAGACCTGCAACCTAAAGCATGGCTGTGTGGCCAGTGGCTAATGAGGCTTGCAGGTTAAACCAGCACTGCCCATCCCATCCCTAGGCTCCCTGTCCTCCATTGTCTTCCCCTCCACACCCTTGTGGGGACCAGGGCCAGGCTCAAACACCTACCTGCACATTCTGCAAGGCCAGGTTCTCCCTGCTGCTTCCTCCATGTGCTGAAAACCGAGGGAACTTCCTAGTCACCAGGCTGAAGATGCCTAAGACAGCCTTCACAGCAGTGTCGATGCTCAGACTGATGTGGTAGCTGCAAATTCACGGGTGAGGGGGTTCAGCAGAGGTATGCTAAGACATGCTCTTAACTACCTTTTAAAGACATTTCTTGGGCCTAGGTGTAATGGTGCATGCTTTTAATCCCAGAATTTGGGAGACAGAGGCAGGTGGATTTATGTGGTCAGCCAGTGTTAGAGTAAGGTCTGTCTTAAAAAAAAAAAAAATCCCTTGAGGCTGGAGAAATGGCTCAGCAATTAAGAACACTGACTGCTCTTTCAGAGGACCTGGGTTTGATTCCCAGCACCCACATGGTAGCTCACAACCACCTGTAACTCCAGTTCCAGGGGATTCCATACCCTCTTCTGTAACTCATATGTACATACCGACACAACCTATATAATTAAAAACAATTTAAAAACATTTTCTTTATGTATTGGAGGGGGCACAAATTCCATGGCATGTGTGTGGATATCAGAAAACAACTTTAGGGAGTCAGTTCTTTCCTTACAGCATGTGGGTCCCAGGGATTGAATTCAGGTCATCAGACTTGGTGGCAAGCATTTTTACCTTCTGAACCCTCTCGCTGGCCCTCTATTACCATCCAACAGCATGTGACTCAACCATGGTCCACACAGTCATGACACTGTAAAGCCATTACTGCTCACCATCTAGATCCAGAAGTGTTGCAGGATATTTGATCCTACTGTGAACCCCGAAAGTGCGAACTGTAAAACCCTGTTTCTTGTTTGGTGTTGTTGAGCCCTAACACACACCTTTAATCCAAGAGCTTTCTGATAACAGGATTTAGTAAAGTTAACCCTAAGTCAAGAGGAAGAGCAAGAAACCTGCTGACAGTGATTAAAAAGTAAAAGGGACTTTGAGTTGAGGGGTATTTAAGACAGCATGGAGAAGTAGAAAGGGCTTTTAGCTCAGGCTCTAGCTTTAGCTTAAGCTTTATTAGCTCTTTAGCTCCCTGGCTTTCTGGGCTTTGAGCTAGCAAGCCTTCAGCCTTGGGTTTTTTTCCATCTGGACCTGGCTGAGAAGGTCAGCTGGGTGCTTTCTCTGCCTCTCTTGAGCTACAGCAGGTTTTCATCCCAGCATCTGGCTCCTGAGTCTTTATTGGTAAAATTGAATGGTTGGATTTCTTTCTTTCTTTCTTTCTTTCTTTCTTTCTTTCTTTCTTTCTTTCTTTCTTTCTTTCTTTCTTTCTCTTTCTTTCTTCCTTCCTTCCTTCCTCTCTTTCTCTCTTTCTTTCTTTCTTTCTCTCTTTCTTTCTTTCTTTCTTTCTTTCTTTCTTTCTTTCTTTCTTTCT